GCATTTCTGAAAGTTTAGGAAAGGCACTATTTGCTCTGAAGAGAAGCAGCATAACCCAAGGTTCCATTGTGTGGTGAGTGAAGCGTGGTCTGGATTTCAATCACCTGGTGTCTGTCTGGGCACTCCTTGTGCAATGGGTAACCTATAAAACCTCATCCAGCAGTCCTCTTTAGGTTTCCTCAGTTTTAATTACTCACTATTCCTCTAATTTCTAATTTGTCTTTCCTCTTTCTTTATTTGTACCCTGTTTTTTATAAAACCTTCATGAACACCTGCATCCAGGTAAATTCAGTAATCACCTTTTCCATTCTACCTCTGCACCTTTATATTTTCATTTTTGTTAATTATAGTGCATTAGACTTTTATTTTAAACAATTGACTTCCTTCCTAGACTGAGAGATTCTTAATGACAAGTGTCATGTTTTAATTCATGTTCATAAACCTAGTGATAAGTGATATCTATAAAGGATAACAATATTTTAAAAATATATATATTGGTTATTGAATGAATGAATCCATGCCTAGATGATATCATGGAAAGACAGATGGATGTATGTGAATGAATAAAGGATGGCTAAATACAATGTTTTTATAGGGACCTGAAATAAGCTACTATAATCATCATCTGTTAATACCATATATTTCTATTGAAGTCTCTGATTTTACCATTTTTTTTCTGTTCTCATTTTACTAGTCCAAAGGGAATGATCGCTAAAAAACCCATAATAGTAACACAAACAACAAATATTTATAGAATAGACGCTGTAATAAAAGCTTTCCATAATTTTTCTCACCTACACCTACCTACAACCCAAACAGGGTAACAACTCTAATTATCACTGGTTATTTATTAATAAAATCACTTATTTACCCCAGAGAAAAACATTCCCTAGTATGCTAAAGTAACTTGCCTAAGGTCACATGGTTTGAAAGAGTTGAAACTGGGTCGGAAATTCACTTTTTTATTTAGAGCCCAATATATAATCAATATATTAGACCTCTCCTCATTTGTTCATTTTGGTGCTATCCCGAAGTCAAGTGTTGGACCCAACAGCTGGTACTCAATAAATGGTAATTAAGCAAATTAATGATATTTAAGTGAAGCTCTCTGCATACTACTGTGGGAATTGTTGAAATTCCAACATAGATATCATAAATAATCACACTTATCTGAAAAAGCATATTACAAAGACATTCTAAATATCTACTGCAGGGCTGGGAGGTGGTGGTGTGGTGGTTGAGGCGCTGGGCTCCCACATGGTCAATTATGGTTCGAATTCCAGACCTGGTGGCTTGCTTTCTCACTTTCTCTCTCTCTCTTTGGTCAAACTGAAGAATGATCATAATAAAGGGATTAAACAAATGTTTTTAAATAAATCTTTAAATATCTACTGCAATGATTGCATACATTAATTTGTGCTGTCTTGTTTCTTAAAACATCAAAAAAAAAACCCTCTAATGTTACATTTCTCCCAAAACCAACTAACATAAAATAGAAAACATAGTGTAGTAAGCACTCATTTGTGAACACACTTCATATGTTACAGAATTTTTTTCTTTATGAATGCTATGTTTCTAAGAAAAATTACTTATTTATAATGTGAGTGAACTTACCATATTGCAAGCTCATTAGTTTTCTTAGTTCCTTTTTAAATTTGCTTAAAATGAAATACCTCAGTCTGCAATTTTTCCTGCTTAATAGTTGAACTTATCCTTTACTTTGAGAGAACAATAGAAAAGCATCCTCACTAGCTTGTGTAAAGACTGACTAGTAATCAGATTTCAATCAAGGCACACACCAGGAAGGCCATGTCACAAATTCCCAGAAGAGGAGAGGAAAGTAAAACCTGGAGAACAAGTGAGATTTAGCCAGAAAAAAAGGGAGAGCAGGGAACCAGCAGATGGCATAATGGTTCCATCACTGGACTCCCACTCAGTTGACCACAGTTCAAGTCCCAGACCTGGTGACTTCAAACTCATGCCAGTTACATGTGCATACTTGCCCAAAATCCCAAGAAAAGAATGGGGGAGAAGGGATTGCAACATCGCCATACCCCCATGATGTGATTTCTCACTTTCCGTTTCTCTGTCTCTCTCTCTCAGCGAGTACTCATGCCCTATAACAAAAATAAAATAAAACAAAAGCAAAGAGGAAAGAACAAGATTCAGTAAGAATCTTGGTATGTGAAGTAATTAAAATTGGCATCCTAAGAGAAGAACTTTAGTTTTTATCTTGAGCCACTGCACTGAAGGCTTTCAAAGAGGATATTAGGCTAAACTTGTGGAAAGACAACTAAGTGTGTAGGAGTATTGGGTTTCAAAGGGGAGAATGTGAAGGCTTTTTTTTTTTTTTTTTTTTGGGGGGGTTTTTTCTATTATAGGGTGCATGCACTCACCAGAAAGACAGAGAGAGAGACAGAGAGACAGGCGGATGGCCACAACACAATCCCTTTTCCTCCATTCTCCTCTTGGGATCTTGGACATGCACGCACAGGCGCGCAGTTTGAGTTTCAGCCACCTGGTCCAGGACTCCAACCATGGTCGACTACAGGGCGTGCAGTTTGAGTTTCAGCCACCTGGTCCAGGACTCCAACCACAGTCGACTATAGGGGAGTCCAATGACATAGTCATTACGCTAACTGCTGGTCCCAAGTGAAGGCAATTTTAAGAGTCTTGATAGAGGCCTGAACTAAGTTGATGACAGTGTGGAAAAAGAAAAATCCAACTTTGTGTATAGGTTTCTTTTTAGCCTTATCACTGCTTACCACTTTGCACCTAACACCGTGGCAAGAACGTAGAAGTGCTGATTTTATCCGACAGAGATTTTGACCTATCTTCTATATCTACTCCATTCTAAAATGTAATTCAGCACTTCATTTGACAAGCCTGAGTCCTTCAGCCAAAGTTAAGTCTCTTACTGGGGACTCATTTTTTATTTTACATTTGAAACACTCTCATTTCTGGCAATATGTATTTTTTAAGCACATGCACATTTTTCTTCATCATAACTAGAGGTCTGTTTCTCTTCTTTCATAAATAAGTAGAAGCAAAGTACTTACATTTTTCAGTATACATTGATAAGATTCAGGGAAGTTAAAAGATAATAGTAAAGCCAAAAATAAAAGCATCATTAATCCTTCAGGATGGTAAATGTGCAGCACTATAAGATTACAATTATAAAAATATATAATTGAGTATTTTAATTCAAAATGTATAAATGGATTTCTGCTCTCCTACCATTATCACTCCTACAAAATGAATTCACACATTCACTGGGTCTAATAGGAGAAGAACCTCTTTTCTTATGCTCCAATTCCATTTTCATTTTTAGGAGCTAACAGGTTGTTCAATGAGATGTCTGATCAACCAAAAATTGTAACTCCACACAAAAGACAAGTAAACTAAAATAAGTTTTGCTTACTTTAAGCTTTGTAGAAGAGCTTCTATGGATAGAATTGACTAGATAACTAGTATACAAATATACAGCTCATATGGCACTGCTGTTACATAATGAAAAAGGTGTATATCTGTGTACACATGCGCCAATGTAAATTTTTAACTATATTTTTTTCAGCAATATGTCTTTTTCCATAACTGTATCCCTTCCTATTTCACTGTAACATTTCTTACTAATATATGCCAGTAATAGTATAGTTTCATTTTATATTTAATATATTATAATTTCAATTATAAACATATTTCAAATATCATTTTAATTATTACCTTTGATTGTTTAATGCTCTTACTCAGTAAAATAGGAAGCCACCAGTCCTATGTTGATTTTAAAACTGACAACTGATTCTGGAAATTTCATTAGGCAGAGTACGCTAAAGTCTGAGGACTACTAACTTTTTTTTTTTTTTTGGAGAGATTTTCACTGTAGGGCGCGTGCGCTCGCCAGACAGACAGAGAGAGACATAGAGACAGAAAGCGAGAAATCACCCCCCAGGGGGGATGGTCACGCCGCAATCCCTTCTCCTCCATTCTCCTCTCGGGATCTTGGGCACGCACGCACACGCGCCCGGCGTGAGTTTTAAGCCACCGGGTCCGGGACACGAACCGCAGTTGACTATGTGGGAGCCCAACGACATAGCCATTACGCTAACTGCTGGTTCCCAAGACTACTAACTTTGTGGTTCGAACCTGGGAGTCAGAAATGTTAAGTAGTAGAATGAAACAGGGTTGGGAAGGTGTGTTTGGTTTAAAGGCAGAGAATGTACAGTGTAGATTAGAGATCCACATGAAGATACCCAGTGAGTGTGAAAGGTTTACACAAGACTAGGAAGATGTTCGGCACCAAGTTGGACCCTTTGTGGGTGCCATGCCACATCCCTTCTCCTCTATCGTCCTCTCTAAGTAATGTATCTATAGTTAGTTAAATTATGGAGTAGGAAGGAAATAGAACATGTAGTCAAAAAGACTACTGAGAGCTAGCATTTAAGGCTTTTTTTCCTCAAGACCACATAGTCATTGTACTAGAGTATGTTCAAGTTTACATTTCCTCATTTTTACCTTCTGTATATCACAAAACTAAAGTTTAAAAAAGTGCAACCAAAACTTATAAAATATTTATTTCCTTCTACTTAGATACATAGAATTTAAGAAATGGATAAGACTTCACCTGGTCCAAATGAATATACCGAATAACTTTCTGGACCATGTAAGATTTATATGAAATACAGATTCTACCTCCTATCATATTATTTACTATCCAATTTCATAAATGAATTATCTGTGTATTTAAACTATTGATAAATACACAGAAGTAGTGTTGACTTCATGGCATTCCACTGGTGAAAATGCAAAATGAATTTTCAATTAAGCAAGTAATTCTACTATCTAGTCCGTACTAAAAAAATGTATCCAAGAAAACAGGTATGTAAAATATTTTCCACAAACTCATTCATTTTATAGAAATGTACACGTAAATGAGCATCAACCAAAAAAAAAACACTTATCCATTGAAAAAAAATGAAACAAAACTTGTGACAAATGCCTACCTGTATATATCTGTGAATGTACCAGGAAGCTTGCTTTCCATCGTTCACTGACTCCACTGTAGTGTTAGCCACACCAATGATATCACCACCTGCAAACACCCATGGTTCACTGGTTTGCATAGTTTCTGGATCTACTTCTGGGAGATCCCATCTGTTAAATTTTATTGGGCTCAAGGCTTGTTTTACTGGAAAAAAGCAAAGGATAACAGGCAATGACTAATCTGTGTATCACATAACAATAATTTGAAAATTAAGAAAAATTATGATTTAATTATTATTCTAGGGATTCAAGCAAATGTTTTTAATGAACCATAAAAGTGGAAAGTTAATGAAATATTCAACTTAAAAACACAAAGTATAGTGACTTAATTAATTCATAATATATTTCACATTTAAGAATTAAAGACCAGAGATTTGGGAAATATTTCTTATTTTAGTTTTTGCTATAGGATATATGAACCTGCCAATGAAAGAAAGAGAGAAAGAGAAGAAAGCGAAAAGTCACATATCAAGGGGGGGAGTCATGCCACAATCCCTTCTCTTCTATCCTCCTCTCAGAACTTGAGGTATGCAAACATATGTACCCAGATTGTTTTATAAGCTACCAAGCCTGGGAGTTGAACCACAAAGTCAGCCATGTGAGATACAGCACTTTAACCAACATGTCACTTGCTGGACTAGAAATATTTCTTATCTGGGCTTTATGTCTTGGAAATATGAAGTCATAATAAGAAAAGTACAGGGACCAACAGTTGGGGTAATGGCTATGTTGCTGGACTCCCATGTAGGATCCATGTAGGATCCACCGTTTGAGTCTCAGATCCGGTGGCTTAAACTCACGCCAGGCGTGCATACGTGTGTGCCCAAGATCCCAAGAGGAGAATGAAGAAGAAACAGAGGTGTGGCAATCCCCCCGGGAGGGGATTTCTTTCTGATGAGCACACATGCCCTATAGCAAAAGCCTCTCAAAAAAAAGTACAACTCTTTAAATACATATAAAATGTATTTCTAAAACTTCATTTATTCATAACCATTATTTTCACAAATCTGTTACTTGTCATATTATGATCTCCAACTCGTTCTTGTGTGTTCCAATTAAAGGTTAAATTATTAATTTGAGTCAATGGCCAATCTGATCCATTCACAATAAGAAATCTTATAAAGCAAAACAAGATGAAATCTTGATCATTTTCTTTCTTTTTATTTTTTCTTTTCTTCTTTTTTTTAAGTTTTTGTCATAGGGCCCTTACACTCACTAGAGAGAGAGAGAGAAAGAGGAAGAGAGAGAGAGAGAGAGAAACAGAGAGAGGGACAGTGAGAAAGTAAACCCCAGAGGGGACGGCCATGTTGCAATCCCTATACTGCCATATTTCTCCTGGGATTTTGGGCATGGGTGCACATGCGTCCACCATGATTATCAAGCTTCCAAGTCTGGGATTTGAACAATGGTAAGCCATGTGCGAGTCCAGTCCCTTTACCACCATGCCATCTGCTGGCTGCAAAATCTGATCATTTTCATCAAATTATTAGTACTTCCTTTTAAGCAACTGAAAAAACTTAGTGAATAAACTTTTTTTAGCCAGAAAGTTCTGCTTTGTTTTGCAAAAAAATCAACAAATGCAAACATTACCAGGAAGTCCCTTATGGAAATTGCTTTGTAAAATAGTTTTAAAATGATTTCTTAAATATGCTGTATTCCAATGAATCTAGTATAATGGAACAGATAAGAAGCTGAGGTTCTTTAGGAAAATATCTAAAAAAAGTTTGACTAGAAATATAAAATAATTTGGAAGAGATAAAAGAATGTAACTTAGAGAACATGGGTGGCTCCACTTTGTAGCAGCTATCCATAGCTCAAGAGAAGCTGGATCTCACACGGTGATGAAGGTTTGTATCCCCTGCCAAGTCAGCCAGAAACGTACTAGGCATATGTACAAGTAACCAGGACCGTGGGGACCAGCAGGTGGCATGGTGGTTGAGGTGCTGGACATTTCCACATGTTTGACCACGGTTCGAGTCCCAGACATGGCACCTTGCTTTCTCACTTTCCCTCTCTCTCTCTTTCTCTCTGTAGTTTGGTCAAATTAAAAAAATTAATGATGAATAGATAAAATTAAAACAAAACAAAACAAAATAAAAACAAGTAACCAGGACCTGATAGTCCAGAAGCCTAGAGGAAGGGAATCATAGCATGAACAGACCCTATGTAGGGTGTCACACTTTCCCATTCTCACATGCATACACATGTACTCTAGGATGAATAAAGAAAAAAAAAAAAAGGGAAAGGGTTGGTCAAGAGTAAAATGAAGAAGGGTGAAATTCACCTTATATAATGGAGAAATCTGAGCCAGTGTTTACAATAAAATGTCTACTCCAAATACTCATTTCATGATTTTTAAGTACAGTATCTTGGGCAGACTAAGGGCACTCTTACTCCAGCTCAAAACAGAAAATAACAGAGCCAGCCCCATGGCCTGGTGTTAAGGAAAACAGTCATTTGTATGACTGGACATAAAATCCCAGCCCCAGTGGCTTGATGAATATGCAGGGCACATGTATAAGCATGTCCCAAATTTCAATGGGATGGATAAATGAAGGAGAAGAGATTGTGGCATAACCATGACCCACTATGTGTGGAGGGGTGCTTTCTCTGTCTGTCTCTCTCTTTCTGTCTCTCTGGTGAGCATAAACACTCTCTGGCAATTTAAAAACAAAATATAGAGAAAATAACAATGTAAAGGATAGGAAGAATGTGGGAGATCCTTGGAAAGAGAAGTTAGTTGTTGAACTGATTAACGAATCCAGTGTAGGATAAGACAGCCAAATGTAAAAAATGCTATCCTGACACACAGAATTAGTTTCTTCTGAGCAAAAATAGAAGAAAAAGAAAAGCCAAAATGTGAGTCTTGGTTTATACTTGTAGCTTTCTACTTAAAGAATACAAGAATTGTCAAAAACTGTTTAAGGGACTACTGGGTTGTACTTTTCCCAGAAAAGCATAGGTTCCAGGAGAACAGGATGGTGTATGTGCTGCTTGCTAAACTCTTGCACAGCCTAGTACAGTTCTTGGAGCACAGAAGACACTCAGTGGGATGGATGGGTGCATGGATGAATAAGTAGCTAGGTCAAAGTCATCATACTCAGGTTTTCATTTTAAAATCTTCTACTGTTTGTATTTCTTATGCTTTTTCACCTTTCATTGAGAGTAAAATTAAATATTCATGTAATTATTTCCAATGCAGAATGGCATTTTGAGCAAACTTTTCTAATGTCTTTAAAGGTCACATGAAAAGAGACCTTTATCATTTGTTCCCCATTGTATAACAGATCATCACCACCATCTGTTGACAGTTACTTGAGTTGCAAGAATGTCAACAGTGACTATGACTTGTCAATCTAATCTGTTTAATAATGGGAACTGTGGCACCCTCACAGAGTGGTATATGTAACGAGTTTAATAAATCTAAGCAAAAAAGCATAAATTAATTCTCTTCTGTAAGAAATAGCCTATTTGTCCAAAACTTGAGTACAACTTTGGCCCACATAGAAATCTGAAATAAAGATGAATTTTAAATAAGAAGAAATTAAAAATTATTTCACAGAGAGATGAAAGTACTTTAATACATTGATCTTATTTTAAATAAAGACCCCTGAAAGTTAAGTACAAATGTCACTATACAGTTGAGCAAGGTAGGGATTACACCTAATTAACTTTCACTTCTGTGTCATCTATTAGGTCAAAGACATATGTACCATGAGGTTACTGCCATTTAAATCAGAGTTCCACACTTGTATACTTCAAGGATCTGTGCCTAATATTGACCTTGAAAATTTGTGTTTTCTTAATGAGGAACCCTCAAATTATATAGTCCTAGGCATCACAAAATTTGAATCATTGCTTTCTTTTTTTTGAGAGGTTTTCACTATAGGGTGCGTGTGCTCGCCAGACAGACAGAGAGACAGAGAGACAGAAAGTGAGAAATCACCCCCTGGGGGGGATGGCCACACCGCAATCCCTTCTCCATTCTCCTCTCAGGATCTTGGGCACACACGCACACGCGCCCGGCATGAGTTTTAAGCCACCGGGTCCGGGACGCGAACCGCAGTCGACTACGTGGGAGTCCAGCGACATAGTCATTACGCTAACTGCTGGTCCCATCAATACCTGCTTTTTATAATCCACTGTTTGAAAGCAATGATTCTGGAACCAGCAGTTAGCGTAATGGCTATGTCGCTGGACTCCCCCGGAGTGGGCGCCGCGTCCTATACAAAAAACCCTTCCAAAAAAAAAAAAAAAGTAGGTATTGACTAAATATTTACTTAATTAAATTGAAGTTCTTGAGGAAAGTACTTTATAATTTTCTATGACAAAAGGGACACGTATTGATAATATATTTCATTTTAATATTCGATCTCTATCACGAACCTGGTCACTAGGTAGTCAGATGTAACTATAAGTTTAATAAGTAACTTTGCATTTCTAAACTTATTGAACACCAACACCATAAGCCACCTAGTAGCATTTATTAGTAAATTCAAAAGCAGTCTTCTATTCATGGATATTTTTCTTATGTATACACATTGAGCTATCATACGTTACTAAATATTCATACATACATATGTATACTTTAAAATTTTTTAAAATTTATTTAAATAATTAATTATTATTATTTAAAAATTTCCTATCGGACATGTGTGCTCACCAGAGAGAGATAAGGGATAGAAAGAGAAAGGAGGGGAAGTGAGAAATTAAATCACCAAGTCTGGGACTCGAACCACATGGGAGTCCAGTGCCTTAAACCATCACACTGCCTGCTGGCCCATATTTGTGTATAAATTTAAAGATAAGCTTTTCAAATATTTGGGTTTTTTAATCCTTTGAAGTCTTGGACTTGAATATCAACTGCTTTAATTATTTTATCATTGGTGAATACCCAGCAGATCTCACTAAACAAACAAAAAATAATCAAACAATTCTTTGATACTGTATTCCAAAATAGAAAAGAATCTTCTATATTAAAAATGATCTCAGTTTCATTTTGAAAATTATTTACTAAACTCCCTCCTGCTCTTTTTTGGAGACTTTTAACTTTAGTAGGCTCTTATATTTCATCCCAGAAATAAAAAGAAAAACATGGCAGGTCATGTCACTGTTCTTTTTATTATTTTTTAAAGTTTATTTTTT